ACAGAATTGGTGGTCAATAAATATTTACTAAACGAATGTTGACTGATTAGATAAAGCATGAAAAAGAGTACTTAGAAAGGGTCTTGTGTATAGTGATGTGCTGGTAAATATTAACAACTATCTCTGCCTTCCCTTTTCCTCACCACCCTTCAAGTCCTAACTTAAAGCACCTGCCTATTTCTGTGGTGTAAATACTCCTTCCCTGGCTGATTTCAAGCTACCAAACTGACACCACTGAATGAAGAGATGGGCAGAGATGCATACATATGTCTCTTGTGTTACCTTGTATTGTTAGTAATTAATCTGAAGAAATTAGGATTATATGGAAAGTGATATGTCTTAAATTATTTTCTCTGAGCTACCACCTTGAGAAAGACATTGACAAATGGTTATTTCAGAAATGGAGAATACCCATCTCAAGGACCAAAGCAGCCATCCACTCGATTTTATCTTATCTACAAGGCAAATTATGCTTATCATTGCAAAGATACAACCCAGTTTAAAAGCTTTGGCAGCAGTATTCTGAAACCATACATTACTCCAAGCTATTCCTGTTTCTCTGTAAAATGCAATGTGACCCTGATTTTCCAGAAAAGGTTGGGGTTCCCTACCACTGAAAAAAAAGAGATGACTTAACAAATGTCTATACTTTCACATTTTGTTGGAACTTATAATACTCTAAACACACAAAAATTCAAGAAACATAACCCATTTTAACTTAAAGAGCTATATATTTTGGTAAACAAGTAATAATACGTAATTTTGCTCAGTCAGAATTATCTTGAACATCCAAGTTGCTGTTACATTTTCCCCTCCCTCTTTTCCTTTACTTTCCTTTCCTTAAACAACTTTTATATGAAGTTGAAATATATTCTATTATGTTATATTTATCAAATAAAATTTGATGCCTCATCTTCTGATTCAATATTTTCCCTTAGGATCAGCTGTCTACATTTTAAAATAAATAAATTAACAATTCCCCAAAGCTGTCAAATCAGATAAAAATGTCTTTTCTTTCCTTTGAAATTTCCCAAAAGATCCAGTAACAGTAATAGCTGAATGGTATGATGCTGACAAATTTTATTATTATGTAATAAAATCATAGATAAGAATCAAGCTGTCACAGATAATCCCACTATTTGAAATAAGGCAGGGACAATGTGCTGGGTAAATTTAGTTAAATTTCCTTCTATGCACCTCTGAAACTATAGCCTTTGCTCCTTCTGTTTGCAGTTTATTCATTTACCAGATGCCTGCTATGTACCAAGTACTGGCAAAAAAGAGTAAGATGCTGCTCTGAAGGAATTAACACTCTAGCCAGGAGACCACCTGAGTTCAGGGACTGGCAAATGCTGATGTGACTCTGTACTGTGTGCTTTGGGAGTCCAGAATAGGAAGTGATTAATTTTCTTGGTAGGGATAACAGATAAGCAAAGAAATAGCATTGGCTATTCCTGCTTGCCCTCAAACTCTTATCCTCACTCACAAAGAAATCTGAGTATTTGAAATGAAAACCAAAGCACAGACTTTGATAACCTCATGTGAGTTTAAAAATCTAGAGTTTTTATAATTCTTTTTCTTAACCTTTATGTGATATTTTTATCCTGTGAGTTGTCTTTGCCTAATGCCATAAGGAACCATCTCCAGACAGTTCCCAAATCTCATTTAATTTTATCCATTTTATTTAATATCTTTTCCACACCAACATTTTTTTAATAAGGCATTTCTCTGTGATTTGGGTTTCATGACTATTTTCTTCCGTTTTTTTTGTCTCTACAGAGGTCCAGTGGTACAGTAGGAATCAAAAAGACCTTATCACAAATCCTGACTCTTAGGCTTACTTAATGCTTAACCTAGGGAGTTACTTAATCTTACTGAGACTCAGCTTTCTATTCTGTAAAATGGGAACAATAATACCTACCACTTGGCTTGTTGCATGGATTAAGTAAAATAATGAATATAAACCACTTAGTACAGAGCTTGGCAGATAGTGCTCAAAACAACACATGATAACTATCATGTATTGGTATTTTTAAAACAATGATGCACTAAAATGCCTAAAAATTTGATATTAGAAAAAAGTATTAAGAAACTAAAATAATTCACAGAATTGATAGTGAACTCATAAAAATTGCAGTTGGCATTAATTCTGCCAAAAAATCACAAAACAATTTGCAAAGGAGAACTGATGAAACCAGTGATTTGAGGACCTCTGCTGCCTCAAAACATTTTCTCTGCAAGAAGACTAAGGCAAAGTCAAGCATTTAAATATGGTCCATCAGGGTTCCCTGTTAGTCTAGCGCCCCTGCTGGAAGCAACTGGAACTGATGCCAAGATTGGCCCTGCCTTGGATCCACTTGAGGTGTCATATAATCTAACACCCAGTTCTATTGATTTTACTACTTTATGATATTCTAAATCCACCCTCTCTGTTCATCTCCTAGATTACTGCTATAGTCTCATGAATGCACCAGCTGCCATCAGTGCCTCCAACTTAGATTAACGTTTTCCTTGAGAGATTTTTTTCCAAAACAAATGCTGAGTAACTTATCCTTCATTACTTCATTCAACTCAATGTTTATAATTTACAGTATCTATTATTACTTAAGGATAAAGTTTTTGGAATCAGATAAGCAGGGTTTATGTCCTGGCCCTGCCATATACTTGCTTGTGTGACTTGAACAAATTTCTTAATTTCTTGAAGCTTCAGTTTTTTAACTTTTTTTTTTTTTTTTTTTTTAAGATGGAGTCTCATTCTGTCACCCAGGCTGGAGTGCAGTGGTGTGATCTTGGCTTACTGCAACCTCCACCTCCCAGGTTCAAGCTATTTTCGTGCCTCAGCCTTTGAAGTAGCTGGGACTACAGAAGTGCACCACCACCCCTGGCTAAGTTTTTGTATTTTTAGTAGAAATGAGGTTTTACTATGTTGCCCAGACTGGTTTTGAACTACTGAGCTCAGGCAATCCATTTGCCTCGGCCTCCAAAACTGCTAGGATTACAGGTGTGAACCACCATGCCTGTCCAGTTCTTTAATTTTAAGTGAAAAAAATACCTCCCTCCCTCCCAGGGTTATTGTGGTGACAGAGACCTTAGCAGTGTGTCTTGCATTCAGTAAGCACTCACTAAATGTTAGTGCTGCTGTTATTTATCACATATATCTTCAGAAACACCTAGGATCCTAGGATTCTTATAGTTACCACCTACTTGTCACTCATTAGTGTTAACATTTATAAACTAACTCCCCAGAAATATTAACTGTAACCTTAAACCATCTATTTTGACTGAGCATATAAATACAGAATAAAAAGAGCTATAGCATTTCTGATAATTTAAAGCACGTGAGAACATTTGTTTACCTAATCAAAGCCTTAGGAAGTGTTTAAAAATGGATAAATCTTGCGTAATGGACTCTGAGAATCCACAAGTAAAAATTTTTCACAAGACATTAGAGGAGAAACCAAAGAGTCTACAAGATCCAAATGAACTGAATCAAAAAAACAGCCAGAGAGCTCTGGAAAAGGAGAGGTACATTTGAAAAATAGAAAGAAGAGGGAGAAGCCTTAGAACTAGTCCAAGGGTGGCAAACACTACCATCTACATGGCCAGGCAAGTAATGTGTGAAGCCTTCTGGGTGAAACCCAGAAATACCTCCTAGCTAGGGGCCTGCCATCTAGCTCTGGCCCATTGGACCCATGTGGGATTGAGGACACAGGTTTGCTTCCCGTGGCCCCCAAATCCAGAAATCTAGATTTTTAAAATCTAAAATTCTCAAATATTTTAGTGTATTTGGCATAGCAAAATTTTAAAATTATTTCAAACTCTGTGTGAACTAAACAAAACTTGTGTGAAAGCCCAAATATCTCTTTTATAATAACAGGGGTCTTTGATATAGATTTGTTCATCAAAAGGGGAAAGCAAAGAGACAAAAATGACATTTATTGACCTCCTACCAACCTGTTGCCCAGGCTGGAGTGCACTGGTGTGGCTGGCTAATTATCTTTTATTTTTAAATTTTTTGTAGAGATGGTGTCTCACTCTGTTGCCCAGGCTGTTCTCAAACTCCTGGCCTCAAGTGATTATCCCACCTCTGCCTCCCAAAGGGCTGGGATTACAGGTGTGGTGAGCTACTGCTTTGGGCCATGCCTTTCATTTAAAAAACCCATTTGAGTGTCACAATTTGTTAGGAAGGAAACATTGTTGTCATTTTCCAGATGAGGGAATTGAGCCCAAGGAGGATGGAGAAACTTGCTCAAGGCCACACAGCTAGGAAATGGTGGCGAGGGCAAGACAGAATTTGTATTTAGGTCTTCTCCAGTCCAAAACTCCACCATTGCGCTGGTGGTCATAAAAACAAACCTTGCAGATCTTCAACTGGGAGCACATTTTTTCAAGGGGCTGGGGCTGAACTCTGAACTCCATTACACTAATGCACAGAGGTCACACCTCCCACAGTGGCTCTCAGCCAATGACTGGGCCTGGCCTGTAGCTGGGAGATCTGAGACATGGCTCTAGGACTCCCTGAAGGCCTTTCTCAGCCTCCCCTAGACTGTAGGGTATTCCAGGATGATCCTTTACCCATTTTCTCCCTTTCTTTTCTTCACTGGTTTCAGACTTAACTTAAAATCTGAGGGCTCTCCCAATCTTTTCCAGCCATCTCCTAGTTTCTTTCACGGGTGTTTCCCCTAATAAAACTCATACACCTGTATCCATCTGGGTGTCTGCCTCTTGGAGGACCCTGACTAACACAATTGCCAAAAGCCCCCACCAGATTCTCCCACAATCTGGAAATCCCGAACTGACCTATCAGTCTGCAAGGGGAAATGCATCCATCCAACAGTGATCCTTTCTCTAAAACATGGCATCTCTAATCTCTCATATCAATCCTGACACCCCAGGAACACCTTAAACCAAGTGTAGTGTCAACACCACCACTACCAACCAGATATCCAGGAGCAGGAGACAGTCTGACCTGTAGCAGTATCCCACTGTGGCACACTCACCTGGTCTCGCTGCTTTATTCGTTTGTAAATATATTCAGCAAATGGTTTTCGAGGAATAAACTTCCCATCTCCTGCTGTGACACTGAACACTCCGGCTTCATACACCACTTTGCCTCTTGAAATAGTCACAAGGGGCACCCCGTGGCAAACCATGCCCTCGAAAATGTTGAAGTTAACAGCCTGATGATGAGTTTTTGCTGAGATAGTCCTATATTTGTGAAAACAACAAATAAGTTCCAGATCATCACCAGCTCACTTGATAAATATAAAATACTAAAAGAAGAATGACTTAGAAGAAAATTTAGCAACTCTATTAGGTCATAGCTTCATCACTGTAACAAGTGACTTTAAGAATAGAACATAACATTAACATTTCATTACAAAGTAATTACATTTTTCTGAGAGAAAAACCCAAGAGATCACTCTTTAAGGTGATTAATGAGGGTAGAGTGGGTGGAAGGAGGGCATTGTCTTTTATGTTCAGATTTTAAAATTATTTGTATTTATATGTTAACATTTTTTCATTTTTAAGTTATAAAATATTTTTAAACACAGATGACTGATGAACACACTGACCCTATATCCAGCTCTATGGAATTTTAACTTTTTGTAGATACAATGGAGGCTTCTTCAAAACCCCTTCCCAAATCCCATGCCTGCTCCTGCCTTCCCAAAGGAAATAGCTATTTGATAGTTATCAACTGGATTTGGTAGTTATCAAGGAAAAGTATGTATGTAATTTCTTTCATTGTCTGTACCAAAACTAGAAATTTGAAGATAACAGAAATAACCAAATATGTTGGAATATAATCTCTTAGCATATTCTATGTCATACATGTGTCATCATTCTCAGTAGTTTAATAATATTTTTCAATCTTACACAAAATGATTGATGACTTCCAGGCTAGGTATTTGAAAATGCTACATGCCTCCTTTCCTTAAATCTCATTAAATGGAAAAGAAAAAAATCTGGCAGCAGTGAATAATATGAGCATAATCTGAGTCCTTTTTTTCTTTAAAATTTTTTATTTCCATAGTTTTTGGGGAACAGGTGGTGTTTGGTTACATGAGTAAGTTCTTTAGTGATGATTTGTGAGATTTTGGTGCACCCATCACCCGAGTAGTGTACACTGAACCCAGTGTGTAGTCTTTTATCCCTCACCCCTTCCCACCCTTTCCCCCTGAGTCCCCAGAGTCCATGCTGCCATTCTTATGCCTTCACATCCTCATAGCTTTGCTCCCACTTACGAATGAGAACACATGATGTTTGGTTTTCCATTCCCGCGTTACTTCACTTAGAATAATAGCATAATTTGAATTCTGGTAGAAGGTTCTACAATCCCTCTCAGGAATGGATTAAAGAGATAAATTTTGCTAAAATCCTCAAGGCTGAGTGAGTCTAAGGAGGAGCAGCTCAAAGTTCCCCCAGCCTTATCTGGAAGGGCTGAGGAGGAAGCCCCAGCTGCTGTGTGTGTGCTGCAGTCCTAGAAATGAACAAGATAACACTGCCTGGTCCTTGGTCCAAGTGCTTACTTGGTTTCCAATCCCAACATGCCCAGACAGAATTCTTGACTTTTAATGCTGACCACAACCCACCCGCTCAAGTTTGCTCCTCCCTTGAGTTCTCATCTCAGTAAATGACATCACCATTTATCTTTCCTCACCCCTCAAGCCAGCATCAAGCTACTTTGTTCTACCTCCTCCCAAAATAAGACCCCCCTCCTCCTCTCCCCCTCTCCATGGCTCCCACTGGAGTCTACACCATCATCTCTCACCTGGACAACTCCAACAACTCTTACTGGCTTCTTTGTTTCAACTCTTACCACCACCCCCCCGCCCCCCGGCATTCCTTACCACTCTCCACAAAGCTGCTCAAATTATCTTTTAAAAATGAAGATCAGATCATGTCACTTTCCTGCTTGAAACCCTCAGTGGCTCCAGGCTGCTACCTAAGAGCCAAATAGCTGTAAAAAAGCACAGTGATGATAATAATAAAAAAGAATCTGCTCCCAGTGAGAAACAGCTGCCACGGAAAGGAGAAAGAGGAGCATCTAGTATGTCATGGAGATGGTTTATAACATCTTATTTCATCTTTAGAACACCTCTCCAAGGTAGAGAGTATTTTCCACATTTTGTAGGAAAAATAAATTGAGATTTAGAAAGGTTATATCATTTGCCAAAGGACATATGACTAGTTTGATGAAATTGGGATTTTTTTTTAATTTTAACTTTAATTTTTTGAGATCAGGTCTTGCTCTTATTGCCCAGGCTGGAAGTACAGTGGTGTGACCATAGCTCACTGCAATCTCTACCTCCTCAGTTCAAGTGATCCTCCCACCTCAGCCTCCCAAGTAGCTGGCACTACAGGCATGTGCCACCACACCAGGCTAATTTTTATATTGTTTTTGGTAGAGACAGGGTTTAGTCATGTTACCCAGGATGGTCTCGAACTCCAAGGCTCAAGCAATCCACCCAACTTGGCTTTCCAAAGTGCTGGGATTACAAGCATGAATCACTGCACCTGGCCTGGAAACTTGGATCTTTTTATATTTTTAAAATTTACAATAAAAATGATCTTTTGGTGTACATTTCTATGAATGTTTACACATATATAGATTTGTGTTGCCATCAAACAATTAAGACACAGAACAGTGCTACCACTACCCCAGACTCACACTATCCCTTTGTAGTCACGCCCTCCCCCAATCCCTAACACCTGGCAACCACTGATCTAGTCTTCATTACTATAGTTTTCTCTTTTCAAGACTGTCATATAAGTAGAATCAAAGAGTATGTAATCTTTCAAGACTGACTTCTTTAATTCCACATCAATCCTTGGAGATTCATCCAATTTGTTGTGTGTATGAATAGCTCCTTTTTTGTTGCTGCATACTATTCCACTGTATGGACATACCACAGTGTGCTATACATTCACCCACTGAAGGTCATCTGAGTTGTTTCTAAATAGTTTTTTTGATGAATATGAGTAGAGCTGTTATAAACATTCAGGTACCTGTTTTGCATGAATATTTCTCTAATGTAAATACCCAGGAGTGAAATTGCTGGGTCATATTTTAAGTGTATGCTGCAGCAAAAAAAAGAGCTTTCAGTGACCTTAGGAACCAACTTACTGATATAAAGAAATGTCAAGGAATCACCAAGAAGCAGGAGGCAGGTACAAATACAACAATAATTTCAAACATTAAGAAGGATGGAGGGGTATTAATCCAGTGGTAAATAACATCACTAAAACAGGAAAATGAAGAAAATATTTAAAGGAATACTAAGTATAGAATGAGTTATGATGAATTATGGTGATGCAAGATACAAACTCCAAGAAAATAAAGCTAGGAAACAATATAGAGGGGTTTCAGACTTTCAGGGTGAAAAGACTTTATATGGCCATTACAATCTGTCAAATATTTCCATAGCCTGGGCAGCTGAAATCCTAAGCATCACAGTTACATTGATGGGAGGGACTCTTGGTATTGTATTACAGCATACTATATAAAGAAGATTTTTGGACTGATGCATTAGTAAGGCTGCTATATGAAGAAAGTAAAATGAATTAAAAATTTGTGCTGAAATGGTTATTTAAAGTACATGAATGGGAGGAAAAAAGAAATTCTTAAGAGTTACTGAAGTTCTTAGGGAAAACATCTAACAGAAGAAATAATCTTTATACACAAAGACTGTCATTACAATGTTGCCTAAACTATTTAAAAACTGAAGCATAACTATTTTCCAAAGTCAGTTCTATAGAATATTAGGCATGTATGAAAGACTAGAATTAAAAATACTGTCAGAAGCAAAAACCCTGATAATTATGTAATATTAATGGAAAAACAGAGAGTACGTACATTATGTCTACCAGAAAAATATATATGCATGTGGGCAAATAAATACAGGAGGGAATATACAAAGTAGCTTTTTCTGTGGGTTAAGAAAAGGAAGATGGCGGATTCCAAGTATCTTCAGCGTTCTTGTTATACTATTTCCTTGACATAAGTTGTGATCTTAAAATGAGGTTGACACAGCAAAATATCAAATCGGATTTCTTTGCCTTGAAGGTCATTACCTTGACTTTCTCAGCCTTGGGGTTAGCAAGAGAAAGAGGACAATTAGACAACATCTAAGAGATTCTTTATAATAAGTCATTATGTAAATGAAGTCAAATTAACACAAAATGTAAATTTGAGGCATTATCACCAGCAGCAAAAGGAATGTGCTTCCACTTTCACATTGGAAGGTGTCTGACAGGGTGTCATTTGGCACCCAACTTTTTCTTTCCAGCTTAAGCTGTAATTCTCCAATCTTCGGAGCTTTCCCACTTCTGAATCCTTGCACATGAGGTTATCTTTTCCCTAAATGCCCTCCTCACTTCTGCCCTTCTCCCTTCCCTAAAACTCCACCCAAGAATCCTGGTCCCTAGAAGCTGACCCTGATGACACGGGGTGAAACTGAACATTTTCCTCGGTCATTTAGCATTATCTGAAAGTATCACAATGGTCTCTTGACAAGGCTCTCTTTTCCTACTTGGTGCACGTTTTAAGAAAGAGACTAGGTTGGTTTAGCTTCAGCACATACTACGTGCTTTATAAATGTTTATGTGATGATCAAATAAAAAGATTGCATGATTGTCTTCCTGTTTAGTCAGGTCAATTTAAATTCCTGCCTCCACTGTCCTCTGGGACATGACTGTGTTTTGGGAACACAACACTGAAGTAAATGAGAGGTAAACATCCAGTCCATTTCTGTTGGGTTTTCTAGCATGCTGTCCAGGTTAATTAGTAATGAATAAATAAGTAAAATTGTTATAACTATCATTCTTAGTGGCATCTTAGCTTATATGAAATACTTGTTCACTAATACCTATAAATACTTGGCGATTCTAATATTATCAACTGTAATAAGCACACAGCTCAGTATTATTACTACCTTTCCAAGATGATAATGCTGAAATAGAGCTGTTTCAGAACTTGCACAAGGTTCATGTAGTTTAATATTGAATGAACTTGTGAGAGGCAGAAACCACTTTCAACTTTTGAGAATACTGTTATATTTGTAACCCTGCCATAAGAAAGTTTTAAAACTTGTGGTACAATTTCAATATTTAATTCTAGATAGTTTTAAACATAATAATACAAAACAATATCATCACATGATATATCAGATTACTACCAAACGATTTAAAATCTATGCATTTGT